GACTGATCTATTGATCGGATCGTTCACTATTCGTTGAACTGTGAGCTAACCATTTACTACTGCAGCTATAGATAGTATGAAACCTTCGTCAAACAAATTCCTAATGACGAGGATGAAGATGATGCAGGCTTAGATAGCTTATCGTGTTGTAGCAAGTTTTCTCATAATTGTAAATGCCTGAGGAGAATTATCTAAAAGGGGTCTCTTCGCAGCAATTCCTTTTCTTCTACAGTGCACTAAGCAACTTGCTTTCTGGTGATTCATCTGATAGTGTAAATTTGTTCATCTGGCCTGTGAATAACCTCCCAAAACCAGATGTCGGCCCATACAAATTCTGTAGAGCTTGACCTGATGATGAAACGTCCTGAACTGATTGCTCTCGTACATCGAAATCACGTGAACCGCTGTGTTTACCAGAGGCAGTCAAGGGAGACTATTAGGGAAAGACTGCAGGGAGTCGTACGATTCGTGCTTGCTGTTGTCAAGATAACATGCACGCACAAGGAATAATGAATCGTTACGATGTGTCCGGTTGGTGTGTCACGGAAGCAAACAGACAAGTAGGCATAATGACAGGCTTGGTTGTTTACCACTTGAGGACAAACGAAGGGAGGAGCGCCAGTTGCTGGATTACGTTTACGCAAGAAGCTCACGTGATTAGTCTGCGATGCTCAGTGATGTCATCCATGCGGCCTAGTGTGCGTGATAGTCAAAATGAGACAGGAAATAACATAGTTTGATTGTCGTTGATGTATAGGACCGAATGACCAAGATGCAAGGTAGAGTTTTCCCCGGTTCCCATACAGAGGAAGCATCGTGTGTGAAAGAACAGAACCAGCAAAATGGAAACCTCGTGTGAAGCAAAAAATTATAAAGCTGCAGGAAAATCCGATTAATAAAGTAGTCACACATCAGGCCCTGTGAACCAGGCCGTTGAGGTCGCACTGATGATGTCGCCTAGTCCGGCAACGAGATGTCTGCAAACTAACCATTCAGCTCGTAAAACTCATATACGTCAGTTCTGTTAAACTCCACTTGAGTGAGGTAGATCCATTTGCCATGAGATTTATTAAACAACAATGAAGCGGAAGGCCGGACAAAAGGCAAACAGAGTAGTACCGGAAGGTGGACAACTTAATAGGGTTGGAACTAGAAGCAAGGGTCAGAACGCAGAATGCATTGTGTCGGAGAAAAGGTATTCAATCAATGCAGTCCATAGATACAAACAGGGTACGCACCAGCCTGACCAAGTAAGTCGGTCAGTATCATCATGTTTCAATGCTGTCATCGAATGGCCACCACAGAGTATCGACAACATACAATGTCCGTCGAGGTAAGCGGCCAGTGGATATATATAGAACATGACATCGTCTTTAAATTAACCATTACCGTTCCGAAACATGGCTTTCTGCACGATCCCCTGTGAACAATATAAAAATCTCGACGAATTTTTGTCTGAACAATTTCCAAGGGCATGGGGATCGTTTAACTCCACCGATGAGTAGAAAAAATTTTCCGAGACGCCGCGCACAAATTGCGGTTTGATAATATCGTCGAAACGAAGCGATTGTCGAAAAGCGTCTGAGTAAGTTGGCCTTGTCAAGCGGATAGAAATCTTTATAATGCTCTCCATCAAATGCGGTCGTTGCTCAAAGGTACGGGACTGTTTATTTGAGTGATATATGTGCACCCTTTTCCCGTTGGTGAAATTTTTCATATGGAATGATGCTGTTTTAGCTCAGTTGTATTCGACAGAGTAAAATGCTGAAAATGCACATATATGTGCAAAGAAAGAGTGATTTGATCAGCCGACGCAAGCGGATCAAAGTGACCAGACTGTTTAGTGCGGCACCAGAGGGTATCCATCCAGACATCGACTGGTGGACTTTAGTAATACCCATCCGGTGATATGACAGAGTTAGAGATCACATAAACAGCAATGGTGATCATATCAGAGGCAGGAAGCATAACAACCTCCGCCGTTATACAACACCTTGAAATAAGTTTAGAACTGATCGAAAAGTCATGATTTCCGAACCGATTGATACCGATTGATATAGTTAGTGGGCAAGGTCTCGCTTGAGAGGTAAAATCTTCATCACTTCGAGTGAACCGGTAGATAATTGGTGTAGCAGTTATAACGAACTGTGAAGATAATCACGACAACTGGCAAGTAGGTAGAAGAGTAATCACGTTTGAGATCTAGGTGTCATTTCGAGTGACATGACGAAAATGCATAGGTTCCAACTGGTTCATGGTAGGGTATCATCATACGTAAGTCCTTCAGACTGCCCGCCATACACTCAACAGATACAACCCGTCCTTCGGCATGTGCTTCGCGCTGTTCTATGGTCACCAGCCCCCTGATAACCTCCTAAGCATTGAAGACGAAAAAATGCAGATAGCCGAAAAGTCCAATCATTTTGGTAGTGGCGACAGGCGCGTGATTGGAGAGGATAGTGTCCAGCTGACTAACCGAACAACCTCCTCCTGATGGCACCTGGGTAGTTCGGGTTTTGCCACTTCAGCTCCTGGTTCATGGCATTGCATCCAGGCGTGGTGGTTTTTCGCATGGCAAGCGTACTGTCTAGAAAAAGCCATGTGTGTCTGTTTAACTACACTATAACGTGACAGATGCGGCTCGCGACCAAATAAAGTTACTGCTCTTTGCTTCACTCCGGTGGAGCGTTGTATTCCAACAGCCTTGCTGACATTGTAGGGAGGATTGGGCCCCTGTTTAGTAACCAACCAAACGAAAGGCACATAACCCGAGAAATCAGTCACCAACTTTCCCAGAATTCGAGTTGATGCTTTGCGGAAAGGCTACTTAGCTAAAGGCTAGGGGTGGTGTCCCCTAATTGAACCACTACTTCGGCTTCGATAACCGGGTAGTATCACGCCCATTGAACAAAAATCATGGACTGTCCTACAATGTGCTCATCTGCTGCCGTTCCTGCTTCCTGCATTCACGCGACTTCATCATACGTCATCCGTTAATTTGTTAACAATCCTTGCTAACTATTGTCTGATTTCGGTGTTTATGGATCCACCTGGGATTCCAGTTGCACAGAGAACTATGAAGTTCAACCAGTGGCACTCCTTTGAAGAAGATCCTCGCTCTGTTTGACGGAATTCAACATACGGACAATCATGCAGATTGGGCAACAAGCCGAACCCTAGAGTCCCTCGATAATGACGTCTGCTGTTTTTCCGAAACCCAGTTGCAAGATCACAGCAGTGTGTTTACGCTGAGACCCCGCATTAACCATGGAGCTACATATCACCTGCGTCTTTCTGTTGACCCAAAAGTAGCTTCAGCGAATTAGGCTGATGTATGTGGTATAGCGCTAATTGACAAGGCCGGGGCCACGCTGATGAACTGGTTCCAGATTAACAGTCGACTGTGCGCGTTTCTGATTCGGAGTTCAAGTAGAATGAACAGGTGTCACAAGGAGAGAAGCAACTTGTTTGTGATTTCTGCGTACACCGCAATTGACAGCAGTTGTGACTCGAACAAGAACTGTTTTTACAGAGAACTTCATCAATCAGGAGTAAAGCTAACAAAACGGATGCTTTGGCGGGGATTTCAATGCACGGCTTAACAACCTGCTTTTATGGAGATGTTATCTTAGAGGTCACCACGCGCATGATGACGACCGTACGGATAACGGAGACTTCTAGGATTGTGCGAAGAGTACCACCTGTTTCTCTCGAGCATCGACTTAAGGCATCCGAAAAAGCGTTCTGTAACTTGGTGCCATCCTTCGCCAATGCAAGCCTTATCACAGATAAATCACATTGCAATAAGCTTCAGATAGCGAGGAAGCGTACGGCGCTGCAAGTCATTTTGGTACACCGTTGACTTAAATCAAGCGCCGGTTCGTGCGAAAAATTTGCGTGCTTCGGGGGTCCCAGAAAGCAAAGTACAGCATGATATATATATATATATATATATATATATATCGATGATCTATCGCTTTGTGTATTCTCCTTTCTGACTACGTTCGAAACAAGCGAATTGCTACTCACGCGAACGATCTCATATATGTTGTTACGGTGCATGTGATCAGATAAAACAAAATGGTGCCATCTTGTAGTGTTCGTCTTCTCATTGCGTTGTTCAAACAATAATGGTTGCATTAAGTGTCGTTCCTGCCTATGTATACTAGCTTAGTGTTTTGTTTACTGGGTGTAGGATCGTGCAAAGTTCTAGGGATCAAAAGTTGAGTTGGGAGCCTGAAATGAAGATACAGATGAGTAAACGAGGTGCTTTTTGTACATCTCACCTTCCAGGCCGGTTCGAGACTTTAAAGGCATCAATGCTGCGCTTGCTGTCGTCTCCTAGTCGGACCGTCAGTTTAAGGTGTATTGGGTGCTAAATGGTCTGCAGGCTAATGGCTCATTATGACGTGAGGCAGTGAGGGCCGAAAGGAAAGTGTCCCATGGCTAGTCGCTTGTAACCGTGTTGTGGATAGGATGAATGTGCATTGTGGAGTTTGTGAGTTCATGCTCTGTATCTGGATTACGAAAACAATCTTTAATTGAGATCATGATTTACATAGAGTCAAACCGGGGCGTTATTCGCGGAGCTAAAAGGTCTAGTGATCGAGGCACCAGTCGTCAATCACTATGTGCCGAGTTCCGCGCTCAGATCACACTGTCTATACCTGAGGAGTACAAACCAGGACGAAACAGGTCATGGAGTGAAGTGCTGGGATCGCGTAACATCTGTGAAGGTGCCACGAACCTGAACGTATTTGGGTTTTACACTAGGACTCCCTCATCCCCTCTTATTAGCTACGGTCATCATGGCTGTGTGGCAGCAAACATCGGTACCCAGAACTGATGTGCAGTGCTTCCAGTGGCGACCCGGGTCGTCATATACGCATGTTGATCAGTAAACGGGTACATAGAAAAAGAATTCGCACTCAGTCACATGCAGTGAAACACGAGACCCGAAGCGAGAGAAAAAAGAACATGCTGATGAGGAAAATGCTGACCTTGCAGTAGTAGAGCTTATTTTTCAAATTTGGATTGTACTGACACCCTCCACGTTCGTGCTGGTGTTGCCCGGTGGAATTTGCGCTCGAGAGAGTCGCCTGGTGCTCCTGCTTGGACAGCAGATGTCCAACGCTGAGACAACAGCGTGTGGAACAATTATCACACCTGGCTGGGCAAGTGAAATATTCCTCCACAAACGTGTACTGATCCGTGGCGGGGATATCGCTAGCGAATCGGCTGTTCAGCAAGTGCAGACTGCAAAAGATGTGCTCCAGTTTCCGCGGAGTGCGTATTGAATTGTCGTCCAAAAGTTGCATGGTCAGCTGGTTGAGGGGCTGTGGTAGAGGGGGAGGGAAGTGAATTAAACGCGCCAATAATTAGTAAAATGAGATTTTATGTACCTAGTGAGACGAAGAAATCGCTCGGCAGTTAAGTCGAGGTAGAAATATGTCACGAATGAGAACGCACATTCTGCTACAATATCGGATTAGAGCGGAGATTAGAACAAATTATGCATGAGGACTAGGAATAGGCGAACACCGAGCAGCCCACTACAAAACCTAGCTCTGTGGCTTAAGTGGGGAGGAGACAGGAAGTGAAGACGAAACTTTGCAAATGAATAACATTCACATATGAAGGATTAAGAATATTCACAAATGCACTGTTAATTCCAAGTTATTGTGCAATTAGACTACTGGAGTTCAGTTCATATACAAGCAGGCTTAGAAACAGTGACGGAAAACAAGAATTGGTGTTTTCAAGAAGGGATTTCGAAAGAAAAAGGAAAGGAAAAAGATGAAAGGCACCGGCAGTACGCCGGTACGTAGTATTGACGCTTCGCCGAAACGCAACCACGCGCAGTCGCAAGTGGGCTAAGGATACTGCGAGAGACGCCCGGCCCCTACGCAGGCTCGAACCCGCACCCTCGGATTACAAAGCAGGCTACGAGCCGGCTAGAAAGAAAAGCACACAATCTTAATGGTGCCCCTAAGTAATCTCTAATACGGAAGAGTAGTAGGGGGAGTTGAGTGTTATAGGTATAAATTCGTCAAATCTAGACTCACTCAGAAAGCCGCCACACGCCCGGAAAAGCACTGTACGCGCGTTTCATCTTTTCGGGAATCATCAGCAGTGTGCATTCCACCGGACTCTTGGTAGGACTCGAACCCGCAACTCGACTGTTGCCACTCCGTGGCTGAGACCACTGAGCTACGGGGGACGGCAACGACCATCGTGAATAAGTTACTAGATGTGATATAGCGCCGCTCATTATCCACTGACTTACAGAGGACAGGGTAGCCCCCTCACCAAACGACGAGCTTACCAAACTTAAACCGCGAATTAACTTATGGCATTATAAGCAGTTTGGTTTGCGTACTGATTACAGAAGAGTAGTAGGGGGAGTTGAATGTTATAGTAGTAATAGTAAAAGTTTTATTACTAGCTCAGAGAGATACCCGTGTCTATACTCACATTTCAGCTGCGCGCGATAGTAGCAGTGAGTGCGCAATGAGTGCAGTACAGAAGACAGCTGAAAAGTGCAAACTCGTAAGATGCGGTGGTAACATACCATAGAGGGATTGATATATGCAGTCAAACACGCTCAATCAAACGGCCATCACACATTCAGAGGCACAATGGACAGATTCTTCGTCACCTCGGGAATTGCCAGAAGTGCAGACACTCCATCTATCCCTCGTATTTCGCATCCAGCGAAGACAGATAGTGGTGGCCACGGTAAGCAATTTATTGTTCGCAGTATGGCGGGATTAACCCTTTACTGTCATGCAGGTTTTCAACGTGCAGAGGAAAGGACTGGACATCAGAAGCAAGGCTACGTTTGTTGAGACCGAAAACATCCGATAGAGTAGTATGCTGGCTGGGGTAATTATTGACTGCTCGTTTTTCAAATGGATACAAATATTTCACAGCCCGTAAGGTAACCTTACGGCGCGGGTTCGAATCCGTGTAGGAATGGGCGTCCTCGTGGTATACTCAGCCCGCGTGCGACTGGTGGTGGTCGCACGGCAGCGAAGCACCGTTATGGTGCACAGCTGACACGTTATTATTCAAACAGCTCCTTAGAGATGTGCCAATGCATAATTGCTGGCATGAACATTAGACACAGCGAGGATTGATGGTTTTAAAGATATGCACAAAGCGCGTCTAGGATGCACAAAGGATTAAGAACTAGAAAAATTAAGGGGTAAATCACTTAGTTTAATGTACAGAAGCGCCGCGAAAAGGCGCAGGGATGGAAGTCGTTTGGAATGGATAAAGTGAAGTGGTCACCCGTCTTACGATTGATGCAACCGAATGTACGGCGGCTAACTGCTTGGTTTTGCTTACTCGACGATGCATGGCGTAAGTCTAGATAAGAAGATCAACCTGACTACGGGAACTGAAGCTGATGATCATTAAGTGGAATGCAAGTGATTCGTCTTGATTTCCAGGTTGGGGCATCAGGGAGCCACGCTGTGAATGGCTCGAAATTGTACTTGGCGTGGATCGCAACCGGAACAAGTGGTGATGTTGCTTTCGTCTCCTAGTAGGACTGCATGTGCAACCCTTGAATGGTGCTGAGATGGATGCTGTGAGGAGGTTGAACAGCAAAAGCCACAATGAAACTGTCTCGCTGACGTCGCCTTATCTTCACAAGATAGACAAGTGCTTGTGATCGCAAGGTGTTGGCAAAGATACGATGCTTTGATCTTAAACGTCCAGTGTATACAGGATAAAGATCAGACACCTATCACAGCAGTAATCGCCATCGATTAGACCGTGTGAGTGCCCAATAACGAAGCACCAGTATACCGTATTGATGCACCGCATCTGTGATGGTTTGGTTACGGAAAAAAGTAAAACACCAGTGGAATAAATACGTGAACATATCCAGGCCCACAATCATCATTGCAAGACGTCGTGCATGTAGAATGTACCTTGAAATCAGTGGTTCCTTCCTTTGTCTGAGTCCCGAGGTAATGCAACGAAGAAAAGGATTCCACATTTCTCTTCATATCAGCCAACCGCTTTTGCAAAGCATTTGTAACTAAAATAGTGAGAGAAAAATAAGGCAAAGTTAGTAACTGTAAATGTTTCCCGGGGCCCCGATTCCCGGCCACGATTCTTTGTGAGTTTGTTCGAAACGGTCGTTGTGTGAATGGATTTTGACAGATAATCCCAATCTAGGACGTGAGCTGTTGTGAAGCGAAGCTCAGTCCGTCAGGTCACCGGGACCGCCCCGGATTCAAGTTGCAGCCCTGCTCTCCAACTGAATGAGTCGATGGCGGAGTAATAAGGGGGGGGGGCGGGTAGCATCAACCACCTTTACGGAGGTTTGTAGTCTTTTCGTATCATTTGCTCTCGAAAGAAAAATCGGCGTTCGTTCAGCCAAGTCAGCTACAGAGCTAGATACTAGCAAAGCAGAATGTTAGAAGGTGTGGATAAGTAACGGACTCACCTGAATCGGAAGTCTGTCTCGGATTGTCATTTTTGGAGTTCACATGAATCGTAGCTGGATAAAAGTCGTTGTTCTCAGACGACCCAGACAACGGATCAGTGTGACGAGTTTCCTGAAAGACGATGACAGCAGGACCCAGTTGGGTTGGGGACCAAGGCAATCCGGTGCGTTTGGCGAGAGCTTCCAAATCCGGTCGAAAGTGCTTTGCGAAGGAATCGCTAGCATCGGCGAGAAATGTGAACATGTCGGTGTGCAGGCGAGGAGCTTTGGTCAAATAGATGACCAAGTCAGACACAGCGAATACCTTGAGTAACAGGCGCCGATGTTGGTTTTGGTTGACAGCGGTCCCCAACATTCCTGAAACAATCAAGGGTATAGAAGCGATCAAAGTAAACCTTTGGCAAGCATCGAAAAAAGATGGCAATCCGCGATCCTCTCACGGAGAAGAATTCAATTTTTGACAAGTCCTAAATATAAATGATGCAGAGATCTGTTCGTTATGTAATGGACTATCTTGTGGGCACGATAACTGCAAGTATCTGACGGTCGGGTACAATAGTGAATATCACAGGAACTTGGCCTCCCGATAAACTGTATGGGCATCCGCAGTACAAATAATTTGTACTAATGCATCGCAACTATACAACCGCAAATGGTTGCAGATTAGTTGCGGTAATGCAGGAGATCACGAACCGAAGGAGCGGGAACCTGGACTCGTTGCGTAGACGTTTCAGACCAAACGCTTGGGCCGATATACCATGGGGCCCCAGTGGATCCCAAGCAGTGTGATCCGATTTGTAGAAAAGTGCATAACAGATTGGGTAGCATCAGCAGTAAAGCCTCAAGGCAAATGAGAGCAAGGATCGTCTGGTGTATGACTCCAGACTGGTACCCTGTTGCAGCGGTCAGATGGAAGTGCTGAATTCAGATTGCATATTTGCCAGTTTGTTAAATGAGATCCGCGCACGGAGGTGTGGTGGGGCAACTTACATTGGTTCACAGCGTTGAGTAATAACAAGTCAAAAAGAACAGATGACAGTCAATAACACCAGATAAAAAGATGAAGAGATGGAAATAGGAAAACTAATGCAAGAACACCACTGATTTCATAATTGCGTCACAAGGTATTTAACTACTGATGTGGCTAATTCCGAGCACCAACCCAACTCCGGCTTTCGGTGAATCTACTTATGCTCTGTTGCCAGAAGGTTAACTGGCCGATCTTGAGTTCCATTCAATTAAGTGCAGTATTGGTAAATACACACCAAACCGGTTGACCTGCTGGGCATGCGGAGCAGGTGACCGAGCCAGCAAAGGTTATCCGAGTTCAAAAGACACTTCAATGAGGTAAGAGGACCTGGCACTACACACCATACGACGAACCGTATGGTTACTGATTTGGTTCTTGCACCAAATATGATTTGCACTCCACAGGCATCGGTGGTCAAAGACAATCAGTTTTCAAACGTTCTCAGCACACAGAGGCCAGGTGTCCGATCCAAACGGTAACACAAGTCGCCACCCAGCATTGCAAGTCCTTTAGACCACTACGAATGATCGAAGCTCTGAGAAGCGACAGAATCCTAAGCAATAGGTGCAACAACCCCTCCGGTGATGCGACCTCCAGAAGTGGTGCGACTACCCAGATAAGTAACCTGGTCGACTAACTAAAGACCTAGTTCTGGTTGAATGTGCCCAGTCCCGTAACAGAAAGTTGCATCCTGAAGGTGCGAGGCACATGCCGAAGAGTACAACGCCATGTATCAGTCTCAGCAGTGATGCTTGCACAGCCAACATTCTATCTGCTAACTCTTCAACACAACAAATAGAACCCTTATCGCCGTTTTCGTGGGAGTGATAGTCTGAATGTCCTTTAGGATTTTTCGTAAACCATATTTGCAATTATTATACTGTTCAGTGAGACGAGTCATCAAATTATGGTGCAAGAAATATTTGACTCAGTTAAGCAACTAATTAAAGTGCGGTGATTCCAGTTGCTACGACACGCGTCGCCAGGATGAGTGAAAGTAAGAACGTTGAAAAGTGGGATAAAACAGAGAGAGATAAAAGGGCATTAAAGCAGAAGCAAATAAAATCGATCGCGATTGAATGGCAATAGCTACATGCTAAAATGCCGATTACAGCAGAACTATGAAGGAGGCCGTAACCGCGGTCACGCCTGAAAATGTCTCCAATAACTCATACGGCCCATCCGGGGCCATAATTTACCGGCGATCTCGTGGATTTGGCCAACCATGACCAATAAATAAGGAAAATGAAAAATTGACAGAATCCCTTTCACTCTTCTTTACCTGAACTTTTTTAATTCTTTACTCGGGAAAAGATACCTCGCATGCACACAAATATGTGTGATCTGCAAATAAACTGTGAAATAATATGGATCGACGCATTTTGTCGCCGTTTTTCATTGTCCGTTTACTCAGCCACGCCGACCTTAGAGGTACACAGAAGTGTTAACTAGAAAGCGTAGACTAGATGAGTCAATGCACTCAGGTTTCGCATTCGCCTTCTTTTACACGGACACGCGTCGGTTGCATTTCTGCTGATAGCGCAGATAACATTGGTCAACAGTGGTTTTTTGCCAGAGGTTTAAGGATAATTCGATGCTGCTGATTCCGAAGTGGGCATCGGATTTGCTAGATTGCTCTGTATTTTTTGAGATATGGTGTACTCACTAAAAGGTATAGTATGATAGAAAACAAGATAACGTTTAGTCAAAACATTGTGTGGAAATTGCTTCTTGTACTATTTATGCAGGGACAATAAATATCTAGTGGTCAGGCAAACACGATCACGGGAGAAAAAATCTACTCAGATGTTGTATATTATGACAGTTAATTCTTGGAGGAAAATACGCTGTTTGCACGATTTCCTGCTATATGTGGCTCAATTGGAGTCCCCCAGCATCATGCGCCAGCAGCAGTCCACAATTATGTCTGTAACCCACCTGCGTTGATATCGCAGGCTGATATATCCATCCATCCATGGTTGATATATCCATCGCATTATGTCCTAATGAAACCTCGCATTATGTTCTTCGCTAAAGTAAACAGGAGTAATTGTGTGTCTGTTTAAGTGGCTACAAAGAAAGTGTAACTTTATGGTCATGTTACAATCCAATGTGACTAAGTTTGCAACCAACCTCTCTACCAATTCTCCATAGTTCCTAGGATGTTCTGGACAACGGAGTCAAATCAACTCGATCACGTGCTTCAACACTGTCCATACATGTGGCAAAATCTCGACCATTAATTAACTGTCGAATGTGAAAACCCCTGAAGATGCCGCTTTCAGTTTTTCAATACCCTGTTTAAGGAATAATCTACAAAGCTCATTGTTATCATCAAAACACGTTAGCCGAGGGTGAGGAACATACCTCCGATAATGTGCCCCAATGAAAAAAGACATTAAGCAATGTAGACTTAAAAGCTATGAAAATAACATAATGCTAATAACAAATTTGGGAGCGATGTTGGAGGGGGAAGTTAAAGGGAAGGGACAAAGACTCAGTACACAAACGCCAGTGAAGCCGATGATTCGCCATATCGGATAGTGTGTCCAACAAAGGTGTTCATCATCTTGCGGTCCCCAGCCAAGAAATCGGGAAACACCAACCGACACCAACTTGGAAGTGAGGGTTTTCATTCCTTTTGACCAAGTCATTGCTTGGCCTCCCTTCCTATTTTTCCATCTACAACCCCCGCGTGTAAACAACGCACGTCGCGGGCCTCAATGGGCTGGCCCAGCAATCGGAGTCTGGTGCGTGACATAACGGTACTGAGCAGTTCATTCTCTCTTCCTGCAGCAACTACGCGGCGCCGAAAATACTCAATGCTCACACGGTGCTCCCACCGGAGAACAGCTAAGCTGCGAAAACAGCTTATGGTCGAACGCAACCACCATCTTTATGTATTAAAAGAAGAGTTGCTGCGAAGAGATCTCTTTTCGACAATTCTCTTCAGGGATTTACAATTATGAGAAAAATTGATGCAACACGATAAGCTATCTAAAGCTGTAGTAGTAAATGGTTACTTCATAGTTCAACAAAAGGTCAACGATCCGATCGATAAATCAGTCAATGCAATCAGGTGGTAAAAGTCACGCGCTTTCACACACCAAACATTGAAAGGCAAATAGAACATGAAAGAAATAGTTGCCTTGACATCAGCATTCCGGTCCAATGAGTAAAGGAACTACTTCTGTGTTGCACCTTTAACAAACAATTTTGTTCCATGGAAAATACTAACTCCAAAGAAACGCCGTTGCAACGGGGTCCGCTTTAGAGCCATTTCTTGCCGATTTTTTCCTCGCGAAAATTGAGCGCGGTCTCATTCGGAACCTTATTGCGTTTCTTGCTTTCTATCGACGATACATGGACGACACGTTCATCGTGTGCGACCGACGGATTGATCACCCACACCTACTCGACCAGTTCAACCGTGTGCATCCATCGTTAAAAATGCACTTGTGAAATAGAGAACAACGGTGAAATCTCATTTGTATATGTGTTACTGTGGCAGTGAGCTAACGGATTGCTTGAGAGGAGAGTATTCCGAAAATCTACATACGTGGGTCAGTACACGCATTCCCTTAGTTTTGTGCCCACGAAATACAAGAGAAACCTCGTGTCTTTATTCTCGCGCCGCAAAAATCTGCACTCCAGAAACATTGGAGGACGAGGAGAATTTCACTCTCACAACGCTACAAAACTACGGTTATCCCACAACATTTACCAACAAACATTATGCTGTTGCTGATCAACCTAAAGAAATACCAACGGTAAAGAAAAGGAACGTCTTCATTTCGGTTCCCTTTAAAGGAGATATCGCATACGAGTTACTGAACAAAAGATGGTCCGTCGCTATGAACCAAACATACACGGCTACAAGAGTCCACCTTCTTGCCGAGATTGTTCCTTTTGTCATTAAAAGCCTCAAAGACAGGCTCCCGGCTTGTTTTGAATCTTTCGTTGTATATCAGTTCAGCTGCGCCTGTGACGCTAGGTACCTCGGACACACAACCAGGCGTCTGTATAAGAGGATAGTAAAACATTGTCCTGCCTCGTTACAGCACGGTACAGTTAAGAATGCCCATAGCTCTATCCTTGAACATCTGATTAGTAACGGGCATTATGTCGGACCGATGACGCTTCATAGTACTGTACGTCGCGTCTAAACGCAACCCAAAAGGATTGAGGAAGCGTCTGTTGGCTACCTCGGAAGCAATGGCTATCATGCTCCTGCAACCGGCCGGTGGTCGAGTGGTATGCGCGTTTGGTTTGCAACCATAAGATCACCGGTTCGAGTCCGCGGATGGTTGCACGTCCTCGCGGTATA